TACACATACATATATATATAAAATAATTTTTTTTTTTACAAAATATAATTTTTTATTATTTTATTTAAAATAATCTATATTATGAAATTATTTATTTTAATTTTACATCTCTATAATTTAATTACTGTAATTTGACCCAACATAAGCGTCTCACCCATAGTCTGGTAGTTGAGCGCCACAAACTGGCAGCCGGCGGTCCAGAAGGGCTGAGGACTGTAGTTCGAAGAGTCCACACGGGTTCCTTTAGGGTAGATACGACTCATCTGTCTCTTATTATATCTACAGTCATCAGTTCAGGAAAGCACTGACATCCAAACACCAGAAAACACTGAGTCTGAATCTAACTGAGAGGACATGTCAGAGTAAAGGATACTCGACCCAGTCCACTGCGTTCTTAGCGATCAGACTCTCCCCTTTGGTTTCCACGAAGGAAGAGATGACAAAACTCTTGTTTTTTTCTATATTTGGACAGAATCAGATGGTGAAAACACGTCAGTATGAAACACATGGGACAGAAGGCAAAAACAACAGATACAGTCCTACAATGCAGCACAATTGCTTATAATAAAAGTAAAAAAAAAAATGTAAAAATTAAAAAAATTATTATTATTATTATTATTATTAAATAAAAATATAAAATTTAATGAATGAAGACAAATAAGACATTATTATTGTGATATTTCATTATATATAAAAAAAAATATATATATATAAGAAAATATAATAATAATAATTGTATTTGACTGTAAAACTACAATATTAATAGATATGGTTGTCTTAGTGTATTAATTTTAAACGTTAAACCATCAAACTTTTATTATGATTTTATTCTTTCTGGGTGAATTACAATTATTATTATTATTATTATTAAATAACAATATAAAAATTGCTAAATAAAAACTATTGTTCTATTTCACTGTAAAACAAGAAAATTGAGCATTTAAGAAAAATAATCTAATAATAATTATTTTATTTTACATTACTTGTAAAATTATTTTCTTTTTAATTTCTTCATTTTCAAACATCAAACCATCTAAATTTTATTCTGGCGCAAATCCGCAGCCCTTAAAACTTGAACTAATGAAAAGCATACAATATAAATAAAATGTAAATATAAAAATCAATAAAATCATATAAATAATATAAATAAAAATCAAATGGTGTATGTTAACATCACTTAATGCTAACAGGAATAATTAAGAACTGTATTTTTAACTAATATAAACAAATATTAATAAAATATATTGCTCGTTGTAGTTCATGTTAGCTAATGTAATTACTAATGTTAACAAACGAAACTATTGGAAAGTGTTACTAGGTAAACATAAGGGTTTTACTACATTTTATTGGTTTATACATTTGATTTTGCATATTTATAGCTCAAATGGGAATCATTTGCCAAAAAGTGCATTATATTTATTGTGTAATATTGCATAAGAGGAGGTTTCAGGTGCATCACACATATGAGCTCATCAAGAGAATCCGCTCTGAACTCACTGGCTGCGTTCTCAAAAGAGATGAATTTGTTGGGCTGCACGTAGTTGACCAGAGCTGACATCTCTTCATACGCTGTCACTTCCTGTCCAGCGGTTCCCTGAGAGGAAATGACAAAATATAGAGACTCAACAGATGTTGGTTCATAAAGAGAAGTCATTATGTAGCAAACTATTACTTTTCAAAAGCAGCTTGGAGTGTCTTTACAACATGGCCAGTTTCACGGCAGCATGCACTACTCTTCAAAAACACGCATGCAAACATTAATACTTTTATTCAGCAAGGATGCATTACAATTTTTCCAAAAGTGACAGTAAAGACAAAAACAGTGCTGTGGCTGTTTGGAATTATTATTGTTGTCAAAATAGAGCAATGTTGTCTCTTGATTAACAATCGAACTGTTGTAAAAAAAATCTATATCACTTGATTTGTAATCATGCTGATTTTTGGAGGTAAAAAAAAACGGCACTCTTTGTGCGATATTGATTAACTATATGAAATGATATAAAAATGTTCTGCCCCCAAATCTTGAATTTTGTGAGCATTCTAAATGCATTTTTAATAGACTGAATCATGCAGTGAAAGAGCGCATGATAATATCGCACTGAACTGGAGGAATGATGCTGAAAATACAGATTTGATCACAGGAATAAATTACAGTTTAACACATATTCACACAGAAAACAGCTATTTTGAATTGTAATAATATTTCACTGTTTTTACTGAATTGACTTTATTTTGGTTAAATAAACACAGGCTTGGTGAGCAGAAGAGACTTCATTTGGTTTTAAAATGTGCATTTCTTGAATTTCTGGGATTTGGACCTTCAGTCTTATTATTATCAGCCTCAAAAGTCCCTCAAAAGAGGCTAGAAGTTACAAATATGTGACCCTGGACCACAAAACCAGTCTTAAGTGTCACTTTCATCAGAGTTCTTCATCTTCTCTTCATCCTGTTCATCGTGGTCATCATGTTCTTCACGCTCATCTGGAGCAGTTAGACACAAAATACTGTTATTTTCAAAGGTTTTTTTTTTTTTTTTCTGGTCCGTTGAATCAACTACTACAAAAAATTTTATATTTTGAAATTTTAAAAATCTTAGCTTCATTCCAATGAAGATGACACTTGGTGACTTTTGTCACATTAGCAATATGAACACACATACAATTCACGGACATGATTTGGATATGTTAAAGGGTTAAAAAAATAGTCACACTTAACTTCTTCGCGGTCAAAATGAATGGGAAATACGAAAAAATGTTTCATTTTCATTTATTGTTCACATTAGCAATATGAACACACATACAAATCACGGACATGATTTGGATATGTTAAAGGGTTAAAAAAATAGTCACACTTAACTTCTTCGCGGTCAAAATGAATGGGAAATACGAAAAAATGTTTCATTTTCATTTTTTGTTCTGAAGTATGATTAACATTTATTGAAGTACATTGAATAAAATATCAATTAATGTATGTATAAAGTGTTTTGAATTATCACTATCCATTCCTTATTTTGTTAGATTTTTAATTATCAAATAACAAGTAACAAAAATGCTTTCTATGTGTTCTCTTTCTAACAAGATTTTAATGTTTGACTGCAATCATAATGTAAAACCTGATACTTATCTAACCATAAATATCTAAACCTTGACAAAAAGTAGTCTTTTAGAATGTCTAGATATATATCTAAATGCAAAACCTAAAAAAAAATGAAGAAATGATGTCTAAAAAACAACGGGAATCCAAAAGCCTCTGTATATACTGTATCTATATAGGGTGCTAATACAAGAGGTTACGCAACATTACACAAGTTTTTATTTTTTAATGCCTCCAGATGGACCAATTCTCCCTTCAAAAAAAAAAAAAA